TGAAGAGAGAAGCCATGGATACGAGCCATGTCTCTCCACACGTGATCCACACTCCGAGCAAATTGAACGGTGCCCCTCAATTTGGATACCCATGTCACCCCTATGACGTGACCCTTGGTTCTGCAGAAATTGGAAATGGATGGCCACACAATGGACACGACCCCTACGAGTACGCCGTCACGGACAAGGACGTGACAATCATGCACATTCGGTTGTGTCATGCCTTGCACTGGTGGTGCTCATGGTGCGACAGCAACTTCATCTTATCCATAATCGCGAGAGGGTATCGTTTTCCGTGGAAGGACACTGTACCGCATGCATTCGAGGACTCAACCACGCCAGAGTCCGCACACACCTGCATTCGAGGATTTTACTTGTGAGGCAATTCACAACCTCATCACCACGGGTGCCACCGTCATGGTCCCTACTAGGGATGCACTACTGTGTGTCAGCCCATTCAACGTGGTCGAGCAGCGTAACAAGAGTCGCCTTATCCTTGAGTTGCGCAAAGTCAACACCTACCTGGACATCCCAAAATTCAAGTACGAAGGCTTGAACCGGGTTGCCGAGCTCATTTGTCCAGGCGATTGGATGTTCTCCATCGACCTGAAATCAAGCTGCCACCACGTCGAGATCCACGCCTCCTGCTGGAAGTTCATGGGGTTCCAGTTCGAAGGACATCATCATTCCTTCCGCTCGCTCCCATTTGGGTTCGCCATAGCCCCATTCATCTTCACGCAGTTGATCAAGCAACTAGCAAAGAGATGGCGGGCGAGTGGCGTACGGGTTGTTCCGTACGTCGACGACTTGCTGTTCCTTTGCAATTCCCATCTCCATGCATGTTCAACTTGTGCAACCGTTGTACGGGACTTGAGGGCGGCAGGCTTTATCACCAATGCAAAGAAATCGCATCTCAACCCCTCGCGTAAAATAGCCTTCCTCGGCTTGGGCTATGCCACCAAGGGCACGATCTCCGTCGGACTCGAACGCTGCACGCAGTTGATCAAGCAACTAGCGAAGAGACGGCGGGCGAGTGGCGTACGGGTTGTTCCGTACGTTGATGACTTGCTGTTCCGTTGCAATTCCCATCTCCAGACGCGCTCGACTTGTGCAACCGTCGTATGGGACCTGAGGGCGGCGGGCTTTCTCATCAATGCAAATCAATCGCATCTCAACCCCTCGCATCATATAGCCTTACTCGTCTTGGAGATCGACGCTACCAATGGCACGTTCTTCGTCCGACTCGAACGCCAGACACAACCTTTTACGACACTCTGAGCCCTCATCACCCAAGGCCAAGAAGGATGAAAAGTCTCCATCTGGTCCCTCGCACAAGCCACTGGAATGCTCTCCTCTATGAGTCTTGCATTAGGCGCCACGGCACGTGCCTTCAGCCACGAGCTCCTTCAACTCATTGCCGATGCCACCTCTTGGCACGCCAGGACACAGCTGTCTCCGACAGCGGTGGAGGAATGACAGTTTTGGCTGGCACAGTTCGACCATTTTAATGGCATCCCATTCCACCCCTATCACCAGCTCGACCTCATCACCCACGTCGATGCAATTGCACATAGTTTGGGTGCCACCCTGACACAACTACCCGGGATGCTCCTTGAAGCCAGCGCCCGCATGCCTGAGGAACTCCTGCCCACCTCTAGCACGCGTCGCGAGCTCGAAGGTGTCTTATGGGCACTTCGAACATTTACCCCCCACACCCTCAAGCGCCACGTACTTGTTCGCGCGGACAATCAGGGGGTGGTATTCATTCTGCACAAAGGGGGATCACGCCAGCCGACGCTCACGCTGCTATGTCAAGCAATCATTCGTCTATGCCTCGAGCATCATTTAAGGTTGGCCGTCGAATGGATTCCCAGAGAGCTGAACAATGCCATGGTGGCCACTTCTCCAACCATCGCCTGATGAATGGGCACCAGAAGTCAAAACACACATCCGCCTCACCCACGGCAGCCAATGTCTCCGACCTGGCACGCACTCCCTCGCTTTTGCCGGCCAAGGCTTTCCTCCTAGTCGGATGATTGCATTGCATGTCAAGTACAAAAATGATAATGATTATAATTATTCTATACGAATTTACCCTTTCAGGAAATTTGTTGAAGCTGCAGACACAACTACTCCACGTAATTGCACACTTCTGCGCCCCTTCCACCATCCGCACATATGAGCCGCACTGGCTCAAATTTCGCTCATTCTGCACGAAGGTCAAGTTGAGTCACCTGCATGCGACGGATGTTACCCTAGTACTCTACCTCATCGATGCCTTGAATCAACAAGCCACAGCATCTGCCATATCGCTCACATGCTCCGCCGTTGCCTTTGCACACCGGATGACTGGGGTGCCGTCCCCCACGGATGGCCCGCTCACACTACAAGTACGTGAATTTGCCAAGTGCCATGGCCCACGCCCCACTTGGAACAAGGAACCCATATCGCTTCACCAAGTGCAAGCCATGGCCCGCCCCTTCCTCGAGTCTACCAGGCCGGCCGAGTACCAGAAAGGACTCATACGGATACTCATGTTCGCTTCATTCCTGCGCTACTCTGACCTGGTCAGCCTCCAGTGGAACAACATACAATTCGAGCCCGAAACAATGTGGTTGCTAATTCCCCAATCCAAGACCGACCAGGAAAGTCGGGGCACATGGATCTCGGTCGCCGCCACCGCCGGACCCTACTGCCCTGTGCATTGCACGCGACAGTTTCTACTCCTCGCATGTCACACCGCCACCCCATGCGGACCATTGATCCGAGTCTTTAGAAACAACAAGAATGCAACTCCACAAGACAACGCGCCTTCCTACACCACCATCCGGAACTGGTGCCTTGAAGCCTTCACCAACAGGCCTCTTGCTAACAGGGTAATTACCCTTGATGTTGAAAAATTAAGAGTACATTTTCAAGTGATTCCGTTTTTTTACAGTGCGATTTTTTCCCCGAATCCGTCCAGCTTATGGAAACAATTTCGTACGATTCCTTAGCATAACGAGTAACTTTTTTTTCGAATCCGTACGGGCTATACTTGTAGCAGGGCAATCTGTAGGGGTGCTATAATTAGCCGCCTCCAAACACCCAGCACTCACCCCCCCCCACCCCCCCCCCCCCCCCCCCCGCCCCGCCCCTTTGATCACTTGCTAGCCGAATTTGTAGCGGCCGATTCCTTTCGGTAACGGTTTTTTTGGGGGGAATTCCGTCTGCTAACGGGTAATCCTAAGGCAATTCCGTCCCCTTCCGGAATACCCTGGGGCTTAGCGAGAGGCCTGATCACCAGGGCCGGCCTGGACTGCACCCACCTCAGTACACACTCCTTCCGTAAAGGCGCAGCGATCGTGGCAGCCAGCTTGGGGATCTCCGACCGGCTGTTCAAGTGATTTGGCCGCTGGCGCAGCGACAACGCCAAGGAGCTCTATGGCACTATCGCACAAGACCAACTCCTTCAAGCCTCTACGAACTCCAAGACACAACCACTGCCCCCACGCTCAATCAGCACCAGCTATCTATCGAACGACACCGCCGACCCATTAAGCACATGTCTCAGAAGATCCATATGAAATGAAGCACACTGCCTTTACGAGAGGACCTAAGCAAGCTTTCACAATATGTGTTTTTTTGGAAGCGTATAACGATTTCTAAAAATGTGTATTGTGAAAGTGTAGCGAGGGCCAACGCAGCAAAGACAGCGTCGAAGCACTACTCACCCTCTTTTGCCAACAAAAGAGGAACGTGAGGCCAATTGGCATCACCCACATTCTTCATTTCTAGTTCCTCTAGTTCTAATTTCCCGCCTACCCACCCGACTATGCGTGTACGATAATTAGTTGGACGAGGATCATGTATGAACCCCATATGAAATGAAGCACACTGCCATATGAAATGAAGCACGATGCCTTTACAACAGGATCTAAGCAACAGGGCCCAAAATGTCCGAGTAAAATGCCCTGATTACACTTATTTTCAGGGTATTTGTTTACGATTTTATAACCCTGATTAAAAAAGTGTGGCAAATTGTTTACCCTTTGAAAACCAGGGTTTGCTACCCTCCAGCCCTAATGAAACATGGCAGCAAGGTAACTACCCTTAAAGCGCTGTCTGGCCAGCCAAAATCAACGCCATGATGCGTGAGGGTGCCAATTGGCCCTTAGCCAAAATCACTGCTCGATGCGTGCTGCAGCAGACTGTGTGAGGGTGCTAACTGTGTCGAGAGACCCGCTGGGGTTACCGTTGAGAAGATCCTCGGGGAAGGGCCACAGGTGCAGAGCCTAGGGGGCTATGGGTGCACTGACCCGCTACTTAATAAGCCCTTTTAACTCAATGGTATAGTGACAGAGTTATGATATGGTATCAGAGCATTGGTGACCCGGGTTCGATTCCCAGTGCTAGCACTGCAGAGGCGCTCGTGTCCTCTGCCTATCCCAGCGAGGGGGGGTGTTGAGAGACTCGCTGGGGTTACCCTTGAGAAGATGCTCGGGGAAAGGCCACAGGTGCAGAGCCTGGGGGGCAATGGGCGCACTGACCCGCTACTTAACAAGCCCTTTTAACTCAGTGGTTAGTGATTGAGTTCTGACAAAATGGCCCTTAGCCAAAATTAGTAATGGATGTGTGCTGGGGGTTGTATGAGGGAGGGTGCTGATTGGCCCTTAGCCAAATCTCATCCCAACTTTACCGGAGGATGTGTGAGGGGACCGAGTGTACCTTCAAATGTTTCTGTCGATGTGTGCTGGAGGATGTGTGTGAGAGAGTGTTCATTGGCCCTTCACCAAATTTGCAACTTTCATTCGCCCGCCCCTCCAATTCGCCCTCCAAGCGCAACTCGCTAGAGGGCGGATTCCTACAGCTCGCGTCAGACATGACCTTGCATCAGACTGGCGACAAACCGAGACGCACCGCATGGAACTGCAAGATAAAATCTTTGTACCGTGCAGGACCGCATGAGTCTGACACGAGATCTTAGGAATTCTCCAAGAGTTGCAAGTACGTCAAATGTG